TTTATAAGCAGAATTCGCCTGAAAAAAAAAATCAGGTATCAAGAAATCCTAAGTATCAAATTTTAACCTAAATCAAATTTCGTAGCTAAAAGAGACATTTCGTTATTTAAAAGTAAAACATTAAAATATAAAACCTGAAAATGCTTATAAAAGAAGTTTTGTTTTTTAAATAATTTTTGTACAATGGTTATAACTGTAAAATATAAATTGTAACACAATTTTAATTCTGATACAAAACTGAAATTTTTTATTGTTCTTCTTACTCTTTTAGTGGTTTAATGGATCATTGAAACAAAATTGTTATTGATTAATGATTAATTTTTAATAAAGCCAAATTGTTATTGATTGTTATTGTATTGATTGAATTGCTGTTATTGTTATTGATTGAATTGCTGTTATTGTTATTGATTAATTTTTAATAAAGCCAAATGTAATGTACATTAAGCTTAAAAGTGCTACTTGAGCAACTTTTTGCTTTGCTTTTGCATTTGAGATCTTAAAGCTGTTTCACAAAAGCTCATTGTCGCATAATATAAAGGTTTTTTTTGTAAATGTTATTTTTATAGCCACTTTATAAATTATGTGGACACTTTTTCAGAAATTGAAAGTTACACTTTTAATTATATATGCAGTCAAAATATGGCAAACATTACCAGGTTCATATCTAAAATCATGAAAAATTTTAAGAAACAAGTGAAATAAATTAATATTTAGAACAGTATAAAATATTCATAACAATTACATACTTATTAACCCTAAATAACTAAACATTCATAGCAGAATGCTGACTCCAGACAGTTTTGCAAATTAGTCACCTTGTGGCTATGGGGCAACCAAACATAGCTGGAGATGGAAAATATAGAATTATAGCTTTGCCTCCAGTGTAAGGCACTTAAACTGTGGTTTTATTTATTTTCTTTGGCAAAAGAGCTCTGAAAAAAACCTCTTAAATAATGTGATTTTTAATCGTTCCATGATTATAGAACTGAAAAAAAAATGTTTCAGGAGTTGTGATGCCTATATAGGCATTACATATTTCCTAGCATTTAAAGATTTCTTTAATTTCCTTAATTAAATTTTTTTTAAATCATTCTTAATCCAATTTTCATTAAATTAAACTAATTATTTAGTTTTTATTACATTTTATAAAAAGCAAATATAAAAAATTTATTCTTTTCCTAACAATCAATACAATGGCAAATTTTTTAAAAATTCAATATAAATGCATAATTTATTAAGTCATGCCAAGACTTAATTGAACATCAAAATCTATTTTTAACTCTTTATTCTTTAATTTCTCTAACCACAAAAGTTAATTTAAATTACCAAGCACTCAGAAACTTCTTGTNTATTATTAGTATTACTGCAGTTAATTATATAAAATCCTTCCATGATTATAGAACTGAAAAATAATGTTTCAGGAGTTGTGATGCCTATATAGGCATTACATACTTCCTAGCATTTAAAGATTTCTTTAATTTCCTAAATTAAATTTTTTTAAATCATTCTTAATCCAATTTTCATTAAATTAAACTAATTATTTAGCTTTTATTACATTTTATAAAAAGCAAATATAAAAATTTTATTCTTTTCCTAACAATTAATACAACGGCTAATTTTTTAAAAATTCAATACAAATGCATTATTCATTAAGTCATGCCATGACTTAATTGAACATCAAAATCTATTTTTAACTCTTTATTCTTTAATTTCTCTAACCACAAAAGTTAATTTAAATTATCAAGCACTCAGAAACTTCTTGTTTCTGTTTAATAAATAGCATGATTACAATTTAAAAATTCAATAGAAAAATTAATAAAATATTAATTAAATTGAGAAACACCATGATAAGAATAAAATAAGACTTACAACTGCATCTTTCTTGGTACCATCTAAAAACAGCAATGGTTTGCGAGTGCATTTTAAAGTTTCATCAAGCCACTTGGGTATGTTACATAACGATGAGAGGATACAGAAACCAAATACTAAGATCACAACTGCAATAAATACATCCAAATAAGAAAAAAAAATATTGTAAGGCATGATTTTAGAATAATAAATAAATACAGCAAACTCTGACAAGGCAAATTCACTTGTAAAGTGTAATTTTGTCTAAATTGGAAAATTTCTTATAAAAGCAAATTTAGCAGCAGTAGCAGGAACATNAAGAATAGAATAAGACTTACAACTGCATCTTTCTTGGTACCATCTAAAAACAGCAATGGTTTGCGAGTGCATTTTAAAGTTTCATCAAGCCACTTGGGTATGTTATATAACGATGAGAGGACACAGAAACCAAATACTAAGATCACAACTGCAATAAATACATCAAAATAAGAAAAAAAATATTGTAAAGCATGATTTTAGAATAATAAATAAATACAGCAAACTCTGTCAAGGCAAATTCACTTGTAAAGTGTAATTTTGTCTTAATTGGAAAATTTCTTATAAAAGCAGATTTTGCAGCCTGGAACATTTATTAAATACACAGAATATTCTTATTTTACTGAATTGACAAAGGTATATGATGCAAATGAATTTGGGGGAATAAATGTAAACGAATTTAGGCAAACAGAAAAATAAAAATTTAAAATAAAAACAAGTAATGGACCTAAAATATGTTTCTCCTAGATAAATACATGGTTTGAAGTAAGATTTCAAGACCCTAAAGTCGTCACAGTAGACATTTTCTGGAATGTTCTTTAGAACCTTGGCGAAAGACTTTGTAATGTTCCATCGACCAACAACACCAATCAAGAATGTTATCAGACAAATTCCTAAATTTTTTTTACATTCCTGTTTTTTTTTTTTTTGTGCTCCGATTTGGGTGAACCCATAGTCTGTCAGCAGGGGTAGAATTATCGGTTACTGCATCACAACACGTCTTTTTGGT